AACCGTGCTGAGTTCAGGGTCTGTAGGTAACTAGGGTTTAATGAGCCATGGTGAGTTCATGGTCCTCAGATAAAAATACACTAATTCAATTCAGTGTCTTGCTATAGTGACACACCACAGTGGTCTCCGGGGTCAGAGCAGGAACGTTCACGTGTGAAACCAGTTCGTGAAGTTCTCCATGAGGAAGTTCAAGAGCTGTTTGTGTTGAGGAGCTCAGTGTGTTCATGTTTTCTATCCAGCTCGTGTTCTGGACCTCCTGTCGACCTTCAACCCTTTGTTGAACGCAGTATTGGCAACATCCTTGATTGTCACTGCGCGTGCGTGCTTTATTTTTTTTTTTTTTTTTTAAAGAAACTTCCGGAAGAAATCTCAATTCCTTCCAAAGTAAAAGCATGATGTGTTCAAACTAGAACTTGTGCTCAGTGGAGTGGTGGTTAGTGGTGAGCGAGAAGGTCGGAGGTTCTCCTGCCTGCCGTTCTGTCTGGAGTTTGCATGTTCTTCCTGAGGTGTCCTCCCACAGACATGGTAGTTTACTGGGGACTGTGTCCCTGTGATGGACTGGAGACCAGGCTCTCTTCCACCTGCTCTCATGTTGTGTTTTGGTCTCCCACCTAATCATGTGTCCACCTGTCCGTCACTGAGACAGGAAGTATGGATGGACAGCTCTCGTCTCCTAGCACATCTCATCAGTGACTCTGTCCTGCCCTACTACTCCGACATTAAATGACGTCATCTTCCGACACTGTCCAGGCTTTTATTTTGAATTCAAAGACTGATACTTCCGGTTGTGATCAAACGCGAGGTGGTGATGCGCGCGGCGAGTGAAGCTCCACATCAAAGAACAGCAGAAAACAACTGCAGGTGAGACTCACTCGTCTGTCTGTTTGTCTGTCTATCTGTTTGTCTGTCTGTCTGTTTGTCTGTCTGTTTATCTGTCTGTCTGTCTGTTTGTCTGTCTGTTTGTCTGTCTGTCTGTCTGTCTGTTTATCTGTCTGTCTGTTTATCTGTCTGTCTGT